TCACAGCAAACCCCAGTAACACAGCTGATCCTGCCAACCATGGTGCCACCACATTGGACCAGGACAGCGACTGCAACGCATGCACGCACACATGCACGCATGCGCACAGCAGCTGGAAGTCCATCAGCTACATTACTTATCCTTTCAACCTCTGTAAACATCAGATACCTTGACCAATGATCAAAATGACCACCTCACCCAAATGTCAGGATACGCAGGAGGCAGAGGCACTCCACATAGGGAGGAATGCCAAGACACTCCAAAGTTCACTGTGGAGGCACTGAGGGATGGAGGCTGAGCATCTACAAGCACCTAACAGCAACAGAGCTTGGGATGAGGCAGAGAAGCAGGTCGTGAGCTTCCTTCAGTGGCTGGATAACTGGGATTTAAATGCTACACCTAAAGGTGATGAATTTCACAGAGAGTTTAGAATTACAGTTCACATTATAATCTACACAGTCATTAATGCCTCTCGATTTCCTCCAACTTTTCTTCCCTCCTATATGGGGAAGGGGACACAGGCAGATATCTCAGAAACAATACTAAGAACAGAGAGGCCACACAACAAAGTCAATCTGCCTGTACAGTCCGGGAAAGCTCATGCTCCTTCCTCCCTGCAAGCATCAGGATGTGGCGACTGTGCTCCACAGAGCACCCTGACTCTCCTGGTTCCCGGGAATGCTGGACTGGGACTGAGCAGACCGGGAGGTCCTGGGGATGGCTCCACCTTAGCACCTTTACTGTGCTCAGAAGCTGGGGCACAAGGCTGTAGTGAGGCTACTCCTGGACCTTGCAAAGTCTGTTTTCTACTGTTACTGCCTGCAGGTCTCAAAAGCCCAAGTGACAGATGACAAATGATTCCCCAGCAGGTTACATCATCAATGAATTCAGGAGAATATGACTGAAGTACAACCGTGGCCACCTAGAAAGCTGTATCATCTCCTCAGGGATGCAAGGATCAAATGAAACCAAGATATATGCATGGTGACAGCATCCTGGGATCTACATAGTCCCTGCACCACAGAGAACCAACCAGCACCACATCCTCAGTTACTAACTGTGGGACCAGGAGAAAGACACAATCCACAGAGCAGTGGAATTGACCGTGAGGGCTGGGATACAGCACGGATGGAAAACACAGAGCCCTTAAAAGGTGTAGGTGAGAGTCAAGATGCTAAGAATGACCAGGAAATGTTTCACAGACACAGAATTCGAGCTACATTGAGAAGAGACAATACTGAGATAACTAGTTCTGAAAGACTCAGGAAGAGCGGCTAAGAGACCTCTAAAAGACAGAAGAGGCAAACAGCAGGGCTTTGAGACCCCTTCTGAAACTGCTAATGCTATTTATTGGCTTGGGTCATCCTTGAGAATAGAAAACTTTTTGGCAAAGCTGTACAAACTCCACATGGGGTTCTTCCCCATACATGTGGGCTGTGGACTCATGCTGGCCACAGAAGGGAGTTCCTCAGCAGACTCTCCAACCCTACCTCACTCACCTTCTGAGGTGACAGCAGCTGTGGAATCAGATCAGGAACATGACAGCCTCAGCTGGGGAGGGCATTAGGGAGCTGCGCCAATCAGGGAGTACGCTGGGAATCAGTTCCCTTCTCTGTCCAGCGGAGAGGAAGAAGGATGGGGCTGAATGAACTGAGACTTGTCACCCTGCTCTTCTGAGTCTGACTTTGTCTTGTCACTGACTACAGCCAGGCACCAAGTGCCATCTAGTGGCTCCACTTCTCCACTCTCACGGGTGGCCTGCTGAGAAGACCCAGAAGAGTGGAGCAGGCCAGCTGCAAGGAGGAAGGCAGGGGAGCACACACCACGTGAGTGGACAGAAGAGATCACCTCAAGAAAATATACTTTAAGAGGGCTTGCCTTCCTTAAGGAAGCAATTCCTTTTTTTTTTATTTTTTAATTTTATTCAGAAAGGCTAACCATATTCATTTGTCAATTTTTCTTCAGCTTTAAGGAAAATAGTTTAAAAAACATAAAGTTGTAAATACACTCAAGAGTAACTCCTATTAAACAGTTCTGAACAGGCAGAAAATGTACTTTCCTTTTACAGAAAATGTTCAATCTGTGATAGCAGCATAATTTATATATAGAAAAAAGCTGGCTTTGAAAATCCAGATTTTTGTATACATAAAACACATCCCTTCCTTTTCCTACTGAGAGCAGCACTGTGCACTCTGGAAAGCTTCTCCCCACTACGGAACTCCACAGTTGGCAGCTCCCTCTGGTCCCCATCAGCAGTGGGCTCTCAGCCCAGCCTTCAGTCCAATACCAGGGCAGAAAGGGCATTCAGGTCTTTCATGTATGGATGATCTACCAGGATCTGGTCGATCTTCAGTTTTTGCTCAGAGTCGGGGAAGATCTTCAGCAGGGCCGCCCTCAGCTCGCTGGTCTCTGCGGAAGATCTCTGTGCTGGTACGAGAAGGTTCTGCTGTATACTGGGAACGGTGGCCAGGGGTGTGAAGTGGGGCTGCTGAGGAAGCCAAGGGCCTGAAGAGACCCCCTGGTTCCGGGATGGAGGCTGGTGGCTGGTGTTGGCTACTTGGGTGTTGGGGCTCCGGAAGCCAGGATCAAACGTGCCCACATTTGGCAGGGCATTGAGTAGCGGCTGCATGTCTCTGCGGATGAAGTGACCATGGTGAGAGCGGCAGTGAGAAACCCGGGAAAGCGCGTACGTAACACAGAGGATCTAGATGCTAGCTAGTTCCATGTTTTCTGAAGGCCAGAGAGCCAAGGGGATGTGAAATCAGCCCCACAGAGTGGCTCACAGGGCACCCGGCACCATTTCCAGACCAATGAGGGAACAAACACCTCTGGGATGGACAGCCCCTCCCAGCCTGCTGTCTGAGAGCAGGCCATGGTTGTTGTTTCTGCAAGGTCCCTGCTCATCTGGAGGGTTTTATTCTAGGCAGTGTAGGCAGACTGGGGAGAGGAAACCCTCTGGGCAGGGGCAACTCCAAGAGGCTCCTGGAATCCCTGTCTCCAGTGAGGTCTGGGTGGGGCAAGTGTGCTCTGAATGCGTGTGCACATGGTGTTGTCTAAAAACTCCCACCAATTTCAGCTGTAGCTGAGAACTGGGGCTAACCATGCCATCAACGTCAGAAGCTTGACAGCCTGCAAAAGCTCCATTAACATTAGCGGCATCCCCTCATGAAGGAGTGACAGCTGGTGGCCACCAGGCACTTTGAAGATGACACTAGGTGAGAGGGAAAAGGACCAGCAGGGCTGACCCTGTCACCAGGCTACTGAAGGAGTGGAACAGGTAGCAAAGAAGTCACCTCTAGTTTGACCTGGGCCTCAGCTCAGCATGGGGCCCACACAACACACAGCCTCAAACATAGGCCTTGAGGCCTAAAACACCATGAGGATTTCCCATAGAAGAGGTGGGGTTGAGGGGTTGGACTGGGAAAGCATACAGCAGGCTGCCATGTCCTTGGACCGAGTCAAGGCCTTAACAGTGTGATAAAACCCAAAGGCTCCCAGAGAAATGATAACAAGGCCAGGACTCTCCAAGTGTGTCGGTCTCCACTGAAGAAGATCCCCGGGTGAAAATCAACCCACTGCAGTGCACCACCAAGTTCAAACTGATGATCTCAAAGGCTCAGGCTACAAATGACCAACTAGCAGCCTTGAAAGACGAGACAGAGTCTAAGTTCTCTGTTTATTGACCTAGACCAACCCCATGCAAAAACCTGACAGGAGATCCATAAAAACATAGCTCACTTTCGTTTTAAAACAAAGAAGGTCTGCCACTAGGTTAGCATGAAGGAGGCTGTGGTTAACAAGGTCACCTGGGAATTCTTAGCATAGAAATAACCTCTACTTCCCAGTGGCAGACAATAAAGCGAGCAGGTTTTCCCGTGCAGAGATGGTAAACAGTAGCTGTGGGCCCTCACCCTACTCCCCACAGCGGTTCCGAGCAGGACACAAGTTCACGGCAGCACCGGACACTCAAAAGAAACGACTGCAGAAAGTGCATGGGAAAGCATCCCACACAGAGATCCCGGGGAGCAGTGACCTGCAAGTTAGCACCACCTTGAAAACCTGCTTCTGCTGAGCCCCTCATGAATGTCTCTGTGCTCTTAGACTAAAATGAAAAGGAACCCCACACAGGGCAGGCCTAGACCCTGGCACATGAGGCAGCGGCAGAGGATCAGAGTTTGAGCTTAGCCTGCTGACTCAGAGGAAACAGTTCTAAGGCTGCCAGGCAGGCAAAACAACACTGAAAAAGACCACACAGAAGATCAGCCTTGGGCTGCTTCCTTGACTGGCTTCTATACCGGTCACACATCGCTAACCCAAGAAGACATTCAAGTGCCATTCTAGTTTTCAAGGACAGCATTTGTTGCAAAGCACAACATTTGGTTAAAATATAAAAGCTTTCACATACAAGGAAATACACAGACATACCTAAGAAAGCCCTCCTTGCGAAGAAATTCTTCTAGCCGAGGTCCGTTTCTTCCCAGGGGGTCATCGGGAACCATGAATATGTCCCCCACGAACGTGTACTGAAGCAGCCTACAACACAGAAAGTCACAGTGCTGACCATCAGTCCCCTTCACTGCTGAGGAAATGCAACATTCCTCAAAGGAGACACCCCACCTGGGGACATCAGTGAACATTCCCAGTGCTATCTGCCTGGAGGGGAAGAAGCCCCACATGCAAGTGAAAGCGTCCTAACTTCTGTTGTGGACACAGTCATGCGAGAAGCTCCTCTCAGCTGCCCAAAAGTCTCATCCAGATGCCAGCCAGGTATTCTATTTTCTACCAGACGAAAAAACACAATTAAAGACCTTTTGCTTGGAACTCAGCAGGTGTGCCACAAAGTAAAACCAGAAAAAAAAAAAAAGGTTCAAACGCAAACCTCTGATTTAAAAGAGAAAACATCATACTTGGCAGAAAAAGCCAGGGTAGATCCGGCATTACTCATCCAGGACAGGGACCTGAGCCTGCTCAGCAGGAAAGTCTTGTCAGGAACACGGAACACCGTGGGGTTTAGAAATAAAGAACTAACTGGACAAGGTGATACATGCTTTTAATCCCCGCACTCGAGAGGCAGGAGACATGGAGCCTGTGACAGCTATATAGTAAGATACTCTCTCGAATAAATGAATAAATAAAATTAAATTAAACTTACAAAATCCTAGCATTTATGTCTGTGATGTACATTTTGGTATCCAAGTTGCTTCTGTGAGGTCTAAAAGCAGTGGGTTGGTTGAGCCTCCTTGTGTGCAGACTTGTGTCTAGCGCACACCAGTGTCTGAGAAGTTCAGCAACTCATCAACTGTGCCCACCAGGTCACACTTTCCTCCACCCATTACCAAGACCTTCTGAACAACACAGAGCTCAAAATGTCTCAAGTAACTGACTTTCATCCAAGAGTCTGCAGCCAAAGTTTCTCTTTCTTCTAAAAATTTAAAGTTACATTGTTTCCTTATTTGTGTGCCCACAACTTTGATTCTCTCTTTTCTGTGTGGTTCTGGAGACTTCCAAGTCCTCAGGCTTGGCACATCTCACCAGCCCAAGCTTTCAGAAACCCTGTTAGGATGTAGCAAGCTGTAAGTCTGAGACAAAGGTCGAATGAAATCTGAGAGACACGTGTGTCTAAATGTGTTGCTTACCCGCACTGCCCTGAACATTCCCTATATGCTTCAGATCTACAGCAGATCTGCCTTATCCCTGAGCCACAGTACAGCAATCTCCCTTCTTGTGGGAAGCAGCTGCTCGAGTGTCAAGTCTTCTGTGGGCTCATGGAAGCCAGCATTCACCGCTGGTCAGCAGTTCACGACTGAACACGTTCACAGTGGCAGCAACAAGAAAAGCTGCACGCTAAACTCATGGAAAACACCAGCCATCAAAACTAGACTTGCCCGTGCCCGCAGTTAGGTGCCCCCTCCCTCGGCATATTGCTTTTGGGCTACGTTCCTGCTGGAGTCACAGTACCCAGAGCTGACACTTCAGACGGCATGAGGTCCCGACTTACAGGTGCTCCGAGGAGGCCCCCCTTCACCCTCTCCTGGGTCTACCATCTGGCAAGCAGCACAGACAAAATGCAAACAAGAAGCAAACACCAAACTCCTGATCAAAGCAAAGTAAGAAAAGGTTACCTTTTTGTAATAATTTCTCTCTAGGACACCAACTCAGTCACGAACTCTCTGAAGTTATCATTTGTTACAATTATACCCCCAGTTTTGTCCGCTAAGTGTAGCAGGAACCTATGGGTACAAGAGAGTTCAACATGAGCAGACAGCATGCCTCACTGAGAGAAGCTGGGCTATAGTGAAAGAAGAAAACAGCCGCTTTAAACAAGGTCGGATACAGAGATGTTAGGTCCCGTCCACTGAAGACGGATAAAACGATAAGCATCTCTGGAATGATCAGTGGGATTATAAAGCACCTTTTTTTCATGCAGTCCAGTTCTACAAAAAAATGATTTCAACTGATTCCTACATTTTCTAGAACAGACCCACCAATAAACCGTGGTGACAATGCATGAAGACGTGAGCCGAGGACAAGCTAAAGGTAAGAGGCCTATGAGATACTTCAGCTGAGTTTACTTCAGTGTTAGCTGACAGTCAGCTCTGCAATTTTCTAAAGAACAATCACAAATTTCTGCTTTGCTTTAAGAAGACAACATCATTTTGGCATAAATATAGATAGATTCGCTCAATTACAAAAGAACACGTGGTGACAAAGTGCCTTTTGTGATCTTAAAAAAGTTGTGGTGCTGGGATCAAACTAAGGGCCTGACAGGCGAGGCAAGCATAAGTGAGGGCACAGTAAAGAAACCAAGATGGCTGCTCCGTGGCTGGATGGCTGGGGGAAGTTTTTACAGTGTGGATAGGAGAGAGAGAACAGCCAGATGCATCTGGAAGAGTCCAGAGCAGAGAGGGAAAGCAGACTGGCTGTGGATCCTTCTCAAATATGTTTGGGGGGCAGGGGTCAGTGGAGACATGACAATAAAGAGAAGTTGGAAAGAATGAATATCGAGAGGGGCTTCGTTTGCCATTCCCAAGAGCGTGTTCTCCAGTTTGGAAGCATAGTGCAGGGGAGGGGGAATAGTGAGATTAGCAGGGGCTTGGATAGTCATAACACATACAAGTTACTAGGGATGGAGGAGCCTGGAGGTTAGTTTGGGGCTTGCTATGTAACCACAGGCACAGCCAAAGGAAGCGGCCCTTTCTGCTAGGCAGGAATGCTGCACGCGGGAGCCTTCATCTCTGACAGCACTCCTTCTACAGTCCAGCTTAAGCAGACTATATGACCATGACTGCCATTTTGGGGTCACCCTTGGGAGAACTGGGAATCCCTTTGGATTCTTAAAACTAAACTCGTAGCCCTATATGTGAGAGGGTCTTAACTCTCCTAGGTTGGCCTTGAACTAAAGATGACCCTGACCTTTTGGTGCTGGGATTCCGGGTAAGTTCCAGCACACAGGGTCTCATATACACACAGTGATGAAAAAGATTAAGAATAAGGAATAAAGAATTTTTTCGTTGCTGAAGATAACCCCTGTCTAAACCCTCTTAAAACATCGTGAGTAGCCAGGCACAGCAGTGCACATCTTTAATCCCAGCACTCGGGAGGCAGAGGCTGGCAGCTATCTGTGAGCTTGAGCACAGCCTGGTCTACATAGTGAGTTCCAAGACCAGTCAGGGCCACTGGTGAAAACTATCTAAACTACAAACAAAACAGAACAAAAGCTGTGAAAGGAATTGACGTGTTATTTCTTGAGCACGAACAAAGACAGTGAAACAAAAGCCCAGTCACTGGACTCTGAGGTGCAGAGGCCGCTCTTCTTCACGGTGGCAGTGACTCCTAGGCGGGACTAAAAACAACTTAACAGTTTCCTAACTCTTAGGGACTTGGGGAAGATGGATTTGTTTTTATTTTCACCACCACCCTCACTCCCCAACAGGAACTTACAAATTCCGGGCCAGCCTAGAATTCACGATGTAACTGAGCATGACTTCAAATCCCTGATCCTCCTGCTTCGACCTCTAAAATTCTGGGATTACAGGTTGGAGTCACCACACTTGGCTAAGGTCTTTGCTAATAAACATTTCAGTTCACTTCTAAAGGGCACGACGGCCAACGGTGCTCTGTGCTGTCAATAAAAGCAGATAGTGAGGCTTCCCACCAGGACACACAACTATGCTCTCTGAAACCCAGAGCAACAAAAACCCAGAGGAAGCTTCATCTGCATGCCTGTTCCTGGGTTCGAATCCCTTGGCTGTGAGAAAAAGCGGTGGATGTAGAGGCCTGAAGGCTTTTCCTGTGCCTACTGGCCGACTTGCTTTTCCACCCGAGCACTTCGGGGTTCCTGAGCCTGTGACCATGCGGACAAGAACTGCCCTTCCAGGACAGATTCCCAGGAAAGCTCCCAACCCGTGTGCTGCCCTCCCTCAGCTCTTCTCACACCGCTCTTTGACAGCACCTTGAATGCACCCCATCTAAGCCCATCTCTTTCCTATCGGTGAGGGAATGTCTGTAGAGCTCCTACATCACCTCTTTCC